AAATCTATCCACAAATGAAAATATTTCAACAAAAAAATATTTTAAATCAGCTTTTTATTTGGGTAATATGATAATAAACATGTTGATGCTGTCGACTCTGAGTTCACTGTCCCTTTGATCCGTCACGTTGTTTTAGGTCATTGCAGTCAATGCTGCAGATCAATAAGCAGGACTGCTTCATGGACTGCACTATTGAATTTACTGGGTGTTTTTTTTAGCTTCACGGTGATGAAGCTCTCTGATTTGTGAAGTGTTTATTTAGATAGAAATGTTTGTCATTAAACAACAGTCCCATCTGACTAGTTTCTCAATGTAATCATGATCTATTTCTATATCTGGCTGTAAAAAATTACACATATTTATTTAGTTAGAAGATTGTTTCCATATTTCCCAACTCTATTGGCTTTTACAGGAGTTTTGAATAAATCTTTTCATAGACAAACAAATAGTGTAGATCGTTAAGTAATAACATCTAAATAAGACATGAGTGTGATGAATGACTTCATCCTGTGATGTTTGTCAGATGTTCCTCAGCCTGACTCTAATCACAGAACGTTTGAAACAGGAATGTAAGTGCACTAAAAATGCTGGAAGTAAACAAACTAGCTTTGTTTAGGTATACTCGGACACAACATTTGGTTTGCATCGTGCTTTTCACTTTTAGATACAGTTTAGTTCAATCTTTGGACATCCATATCCTGGTTTTGACAGGGTATAATACACAGATGTGTTACTCTGTAAACACTGGGCCTTTTCCTTAGTGTGGTTGTTTTGACTGAAACTGACACCAACCATCTGAGAGGAACATCTGCCTGTCGTGATGATTCCAGCTTAAAAGCTGGATCTCAACTTGTCAAAAACAAACTGGAACTCGCTGAGAAATCTGCAAAGTGTGTGTGTGTGTGTGTGTGTGTGTGTGTGTGTGTGTGTGTGAGTGTGTGTGAGTGTGTGTGTGTGTGTGTAAATTTGAGTGTAGATGTTTGACTGTTGGCGAGTGGGATGACAGCCAGTATAGGAGAAGAAGCTAACAAGCTGCTGATGCTAGCAAGGTCTGAGTTAGAACAAATTCAGCAGATCCAGTGAAAACCATCCGACCAGCCATCTCCGAGACAGACAGGCATCGCATTATCTTCCCATGTAGGTCAATTAGAGCACCAGACATCACCGGGTTGTACCACCATCACCAAATCACAACACGGCTGCACAAACTAGGCAACAACACGCACACCTGTGCACTAAACTTTTACCTGGGAGGAAAAACAACAAACTCCCCCGACATGTGAAAAGAAGTTTGAAAGAAAATGTCTTATTTGAGGAAAGTTCGAGGAAAGTTCCTCCCCAGCTTCTTTGTGTGTGTTTCTGTGGCTGCCGGTTGCTCCTCAGCTTCTCCAACGCCGTGCACTGGTTTCCCCAAAGCAGTGTGAAGCGAGCTGTCACTCACAATCAATGTGCCCTAAAAACCTTGTTAGAAAAGATGCTGCTGGCCCAGCTGCTACTACTTAATCTATATATATGTACTAAATCTATTTCTGTGGGTGGAATCCTTGACGCATAATGTGCCCATCCAACCCAGTAATTATTTGAAGACGGGCCGGGAGAAATTAGAGCATTGACAGAAACTTTGGTTTAACTGCTGCGGACACTGTCCTGGGGATTTTTTTTTTTTTGCTTGAAAAAATAATGAAGGCACCATTAGGGCTGTAAGTGCTGAACAGATTTGCTGATTAATTGGCAAAACGGTGGACAGAAAATTCATTTGATAGCCATTTATACCACTGAGTCATTAACAAGCAAAAAACTGCAAACACTTGCTGGTTCTAGAAGTGAAAATCTGCAGCTTTTCTCGTTATTTAATTAGAAACTGAATGTAAGTTGGCTGGTGGAGTCAGTGAGACAAAAAGACGTAATTTGAAGACATCACCTTGGACTCTGGAAGACTGTGAGAGGCTTATAATCTGACGTTTAAATCAATTTATTGAAGAAAGTCCCTTAAAAGACTGAAACAGCCCTTATATGCAGTATTATTTGAGTCTACTTTCTGGAGACACACACACACACACACACACACACACACACACACACACACACACACACACACACACACAACTTGGCCCTGCTCGGCTCTGACCCAAGATGGTATTGTGTTTAAGCCACATTTCCTCTGTCTCTGCTGCTGAATGCCAACACTCTCTGCAGCCAAGTCCCCAAGATCTCCCCATATGTCCACTCTTTTTTGCACGTTGCACTATGGATTACATTTTCATGAATCATCAGAACAATGCAATATGTTCCCATTCTCTTAATGTTACATTTGCATTTCATGGTGGCGACACTCCCGGCTGTAATCATGCAAAATCGTGCATTTGCAGGAAGTCTCAGGCCCAGACGCTTCAATGTATAATTGTGCTTTTAACTCCTTGTGTCCCATCTTTTGTCTTTATATAAGATGTGAGGTAAAAAGGGAGGGAAGCTGAATGAACGGGAAATATGAGGAACCCATATTTCATACACCCAGCTCTGTTCAGCACTCTCTTTCTCTTCCTGCACATCATGTCACTGTGCTCATTAGAAATACGTTGACTCACTGCCTTGCACGCATCTCTCCCCCCTCTCCCAAACATATCTGTCTCTCTCCAGTGTCGCTCGATCATTGTCTCCCTCGCTCTCACCCACCCTCCCCCTGCATGCCTTCTCCCTCCTTCTGGCGGGTTGGCAGTTCTGAGGTAGTTGCTGTCTGCATAGCTAAGGGAAATGTCAGCAGCACACACAGAAAAAAATGGGTCAGAACATTACAAACGCTCGGCGCACATGCTCAGTGGTTGACGCGCAGCGTTGGTCTATGTGCGCGGAGTGAATCAGATCACTGTGTCCTCTCATATCCTCTGCCATGCGTGAATGTTCCCACTTCTCACTCCTGTCTTTTCTCATCAATTATTGACGGCACACAACAGCTCCTGGCTAGATTCACCACCGCTGCTGCAATCAGCGCGGAGCAGTGTGGTGGTCTGGACGTGGACAAGATAGGCGAGGAGTGGAGATCAGTTTGTAAATAAAGTGTAGTTGTAGTCACAGAGAAGTGGATACGACCATGAATTTATGTTCCGTCTTTGTCCTTTCCCCCTCTCTCTTGTCTGGTGTTCGATCTGCCAGACGTCCCACACCCAAATCATTTCTCTCGACAAGTCTCAGCCAAACCGGGATGGAAATAGCAAATAGACTGCTAGACTGTCAGGCCCTTTTCATACACACACCACTCATGCACGGCCACACAGACTTGCCACGAGGGACTCAAATGTAAATTGCCTCCCCACACGCCCTCCTCTCTATTTCTCTCACACACGCCTTGAGCAGGCCTTTGGGCAGTGGCAGATAAGGCCTGATAGAGGAGAGGCATCTGATAGCGTGCTGTGGAATCCATCTGACCGGCTTCGGTAATAGTTTATAACAGTCCTCTGTCTGCCGGCCCTGCCCTCGTAAAAAGCCACGCAGCGGACCCACCAGTGTTTACCGCACAAAGACTTCAAAGTGCGTGTGCTGAAATCACAACAGACAGACAGATAAACTGTCTGTTTCCTTTGCGTTCCCCTCAGAGCGTATATGCAGCCCCCTCCCTGCTGCTTCTACTCCTCTCCTCGTCTCCCCTTCTCCTCCTACATGTCCTGCTATTCTCTCCTCTTCAGAAGTGTGCCAGAGTTAAAGCCGGAGCAATAAATAAGGCATATTATGGCCTTTTAACGTGATGAATAATGTAAAACAATAAAAAGTTAATATATAACTACTTTACCCTCATTCTGCCATGCCTAAGTGTATTGTAAGTATATTCTAGGTGTGTGCATATATGTGTATCTGTGTGTGTGTGTGTGTGTGTGTGTGTGTGTGTGTGTGTGTGTGTGTGTGTGTGTGTGTGTGTGTGTGTGTGTGTGTGTCCTGCGCTCTCATGAATGTGTCAGTGTTGGAAATGCCTGTCTGAGTGTTTGCTGAAGGAGCTGCTGATGCAGATGTGAGCTCATTTTTTACGACAGGACAGGGATACTGGCGTGTTTCACAGACGTTTGCTAACTTGTCCTTCCTCTTTTTTGTGCTTTCATCTTCACTTCTGAAATGCTTTCAACACGAGCAAAGATATCCTTCTTACGTATAAATGATATATCAAAAGATAATAAAAAAACAACCCTTGTTGATGCAGAGGATCGAGTCATTGTAATTCAGCTCTTGCATCTTGCCAAGGCTCACTCTTTGTATGTGTTTTTTTTTTGTTTTCCCCACAGTTCCAAATGCGGTGAACCCCTCAGCGCCGGACGCTCCAGAAGACAACGCCATACCGGAGTCCATTCCCAGTCACCCGCCTGACCAAGGTCGGATTGGGCCCGAGATACCAGGAAACACTGGTGAGCAGATTGGCAGAACACTCCACCCACAAACTGCTTTGTGACACCCTTCGAAGGCTTTCTAGACTGCAAACATTTTAGCAAGATAAAGGTTTTTGAAAAGTAAAAAAAAAAAAAAGAGAGAATATTCACAGCCCCAAGGGTTCCGTTAATAAGTAATCACATTAAGCTGAAAAGGAGAAAATAAAAATCACAGTTGACTCACCTTAAGTACGCATTCTCTCATATGGCTCTTTCATGCCGGGGGCGTTGCTTTCGATTGCTGTGGGTCAACATTTGAGAATAGGTGTAAAAAAACAATGTTGTACAGAATAAAAATAACACTCAACAAAATGCGGGTGGCAGTTAAACAATACACAACCACACCCAAAACAAATACAGCTCACCCTGAGTCACTTTACTTATTTATGCTGTACACAAAGGTTTTTCTGTTCCCAAAGGAGACGTGCAGTTATACCGGTTTAGTACATATCGTTTTTAAACCTCATTAGAATTGCAGATCAATGGAGATTAACAGCAGTGATAAGTGAAGGAGTCACCTCAGCCTCGTTGGAAGCTCTGGGCCCTCCTTTGCTTCCTGTTTTCACCAGCACCTTTCAGAGCTGCTTCACGCAGGAGGAACCACTTCTCTTTTTTTTTCTTGCATCACTCCCCACCCTAACTTTTTGACTTACTCCACAACTTTGTGTGCCGCAAACTTCCTCCTAGTACAGACAGTTCTGCCTGTCCCAATGTGATAAGCCGTCCTCATTTAATAATTGCTTATTTGACATTAGTTTCCTCTATAAAAAGATTTCCAAATGTCACTTTCCCCCCATTCTCGGGTTTTTTACCTGTCTACCATTGTTAGATCAGTGATTATGTCAAGTGAAGGAGTGGAGGGTGGAATGAAGGACGTGTCGTTTTTTTTTTGAGGAGGCTGATATTTCAGGAATGAGATTTCTGACAGCCTCTTTCCAGCTCTCTCCCTCTCTCCGCTGCCCAGATTGTACGAAAATTCCTCGCGCCTCTGATTTCACTGATAAGACTGAAATCGGTAGCTTTCAGTGATGTCATTACAGTAGTGATAAGACGCGGGGCCCAGCGTGCCCCCCCCTCAAGAAATGCTTAAGTGCAGAGTGGTCAGCGGAGTGCGGAGACACAGTCATTAGTGGGGATTGTGGTCTCTGGAGGTATGTAAGGCTTTTGTGTGTCTGTGTGTGTGTGTGTTTGAGGGGGTGGGGTTGGTGGTGGTGGAGGGGTCATGGACAGTAAAGAGGTGGTGCTGGCAGGAGGTGGGAGGGGGGGTGGTTCCTGCTCTTTTGGCAGCAGCTGCATGCATACATGGAAAACAGATTTGCTTCTTCTCGGATTTCAGTCACTGGGGCAGTCCGTCATTCTCTCTCCCATCCAGTCACAGCCCCCCCCCCCCCGAAACTCTTCAGACAAAAAGGATAAATAAAATCAGATGTTCAGATATGCCCTCCTCATTTTCTTTTTTATATCTCACTTGGCCTTTGCCGTACAAACGTGGCCCCGACATGTCGAGAAAAACCTGCCCGGGTTGAGTCTTTATCGGAGCAGAAATCTTTGTTATGAGTGATGACTGCAGATTTCATTTGGGGGCCATTTTGATTGAGCTGATTCAATTAGATTACATCAATGCGACTGTTGAGTCTCACGGAGCAAACAACAAACAGGGCTGTGATCAGAGTTGATTTAGTACCACAACAGTTACATCTAGATATGTCAGGACGGACTAGCTGTAAATGTTATCACCCCTCTGATTGTTTAGAAGTCTCAGAGGAACTGTATGAAAATTATTGTTGCCGGAAAGGATGTTTATAAATCTTGTGTTTTATTCCATGAGAACCAAGGACGCCCCCAGGGTTATGACAATGTTTTCGTTGGACCATTCAGTACTCTCTCTGCAATATTTCAAAGTAAAATATTTATTCAAACAAATGGTGAAAATACAGTCATGTTCCATTTGCAAATGTGGAGCTGCTAAGTAAACTGTTTTAATAGTTGCCAAATGAGCGAAACGAGAACAGGCGACTGTGCTGCAGGGCTTTTGCATCCCAGCCCATATTGTCTACATATGGCAAAATAGAACTTCATGGCACACGTGAAAACCATCTTTTTGATGTACCTATTTGAGGTTTTTTCATATAATAAATCTCAGAGATATAAAATAGAAATATGGGGAGAAGAAAGACCTTCTCCCGCTCTCACAAAAGTTAGACGACTCTTCCTTTAGAAGAAATAAATTGACGATACCCCCTCCTTCCCTGACCCTCCCTTCCCCCATAATAACTCATACACAGTCCCTAACCCCTGGATCTTTTTATTTCTCTCTCCAGACACCATGAATCAGGATGCGGGTTCCTCATCCAACTCAGACGGCATTCTCGGATCCAGGGTGGCTGTGTTCTCCGCCATTGGTGCCGGCTGCATCATCTTCCTTCTGCTCATCCTCCTCCTCGTCATCCTGCTCATCAAGATGCGCAAGCGCGCTAGGAAAAACGCCCACTCCCAGCCCCGCCCCTCGGCGCTGTCGCTCAGCACGCTGTCCAATCCCAAGCTGCCCGGGGGCACAGCTGGCACTGAGCCCAGCGACATCATCATTCCGCTGCGGACAGAGAACAACTACTGCCCTCACTATGAGAAGGTGAGCGGCGACTATGGCCACCCTGTCTACATTGTCCAGGAGATGCCCCCGCAGAGCCCCGCCAACATCTACTACAAAGTCTGACATGCTCCGCACAGCCCGCGACAGCCAGGAGAGAGAAAGGAGGAGCGCTTGATTTATGTTCCTGGGAAGAACACCTTCCTTTGCATTCTGGGGACTTGATGCTTCTGCAAGCCCCTGTTATTTCTACCACCTGCTGCACAAATCTGGAGAGACACGCACTGACCAGTAACCAGCGGGGTTGTGAGCTGACTGATGAGAGGTTTATTATGTTTGTTTGGATTGTCTGAAAATCCCCACCCTCCTGTTCCTCCTCCTCCCTTCACCTCCCAACTTCTACGTCTCCCTGCTGTGCCCCAACAGGGGGGCAGGGCTGGAGCAAACCAACAGATGGAACTTTAGCTTCCTAGTTTGCTGTCCCCTTTAATGGGCAGGATATAACTTATCTCAGTTCCCTGAAGTACAGTCTTTGCTACACCCAATTAAACACACCACCCGAGCACACATAGCCAGGAACAGGCAGACACAGGCCCCGAATGCCACTCAGCCTGCAGTTTGTGTGCAAGCATAAAATGTGTGTGTGAGAGTGTGTGTGTGCGTGTGTGTGTGCGTGCATGTGTGTGTATTAGTCAGGGCTCCGCGCTGGACCAGGAAACTCTCCAGATAGCTCAGGTATCAGACACAGTGTGTGAAATAATGTGTTCCTCTCCCTTCGCACCTCTGATGTTTGCCTTACTTACTATTTTTGATGGAGGATTTCCTCGAACCCTGCGTCAGTTCACAAAGCAGTTGTATTTTGTTAGACTTTTCCTACAAGTGCACAATGTATAGAGTTGAATAGATCTTCGTTATTACCCCCCATCTTCTCACTCACCCACGTCATCCATTGCATTACATTTTTTTCCTCTCCCAAAAGAATCACCTTGACCTGGACTGTTGATGTCGAGGTGTGTATGTGTAGTTGCATATTAGTATTTGTACGTGTGTGTGTTCCTGGAAATACTTCCCTCTCCACTGGTCTGATGTGAGCTTTACCATTACCCTGGTATTTATGACCTACTTGTGTGTATCTGTGTCCTCTGGGAGTATATGTGTGTGTGTGTGTGTGTGTGTGTGTGTGTTTGGACATGTCTAGACCAGTCTAGTATCCGGGCAGACTTATTGGCTTATGGGTAGAACAGTAAGTTACTGTATCATGTACTTCAAAAACAAGACAGACAGACCGACGCTCAGAAAAGACAGACATGCCCGAGATCTTACGAAACCCATCTAGCACTCTAGCTGGCATCAACTGAAGGTTTGTTTTTTTGTGTGTCTGTGTCTGATGAGCTTTCAGGCTTTAAAAAAAAAATAGCAGGCAGGTTGATATTTGTTTGTTCCAGCTTCTTGTGCTACAGTGTAAGGATCAAACAGTTCGCCGCGTGCCTGCTGTTAGGCGAGGTTGGACGTAGGCTGGGTGCTAGGCGCTGATTGGCTGGCCTACATAGGTAAGGATGCCCTATATATAAAGTTGGACGGCAAGCCGCGGCAGAACATCGAGATGCATTATTGTCAGATGCCAATTGGCTGCCATCTGTAGATGAGTCAGTGGTATCGCCAGCATGTGACTAATCTATGTGCCATCTCCAGTGCCCACACTCACCAGCCGGGGAGGAAAGAGAGACAGAGGAGGGGGGGGGGGGTAAAGGAGAAAATGTTCCTGTGATTTGGCTTTAACCTGAGAGGGAAGATGGCAGTGGGTATGGGAGGTGGGGTGAGGGGGGTGGTGGGGGTAGTTTAACATTCTTTTTTTTTTTCTTTCCATCCTCTCACCAGTTGTGCTGTGAATAAAAAGTGCTGTGCAGAATATTCCTCAGTCAAGGTGTTCAGCCTGCGAGGACACTGCAGCTCAGCTATCACACAGCCCAGGGCAGCGGCACCGAGGCAGGATTTACTGCAGCTGGAGGTGTGCACACTAAAAGCTCCCCTTTTAGGTGGGGTGGGGGGGCGGCAGGTGATGGGATCTGTCTGTGTGAACATGTAGGGGCTTCTACATGTGCTTATTTGGGCTTATATCCCTCCATGTGTGTGCAGGTGTATATATATGTGTGTGTGTGTGTGTGGAGGCTTCTGTGGTCTTGCCGCTGAGCAGACTTGTTTCGGGGACTGGAAGGTGGGCGCTCTCGAACAGTGTGGCTGCCAGAGTGCGGAGCGCCGCAGTCCTGCCTAATGATGTGTGAGAGGAGAGCAGGGGAGATAAGAGAGCGGCCATTCCTCAGCGTGCAGACACAAGCTGACGTTTGATGCACATACACACACACACACACACACACGACACACCAAGACTGACGGGTCCAGGTTTTTATCTCCAGTCAAACGGTCGTACTGCCGGTGAATGTTTACTCACCGGGCGAAGGGACCTATCATCCGCTGCCACTAACTATTGCCATCCACAGACACACACTGCTGAGATAAAAAAAGCAGCCCAGCTTGAAGACTCGGGGAAGACTCCGATAGCTTTTGCGTGTCGTTAACCTTGGGAGTTAACAACCTAAACAGCTGCTCGTGCTTACGCGGTCCTGTGTTTTAACTCAGCATGCAGCCCTCAGTGGCCCCTCTGTGAAACACATCCAGATCAAATATTTTTGTTTCGGACCGATGCGCATCCATTCACCTAAACCAGCCAAGGGAGTCATTACCAAATTACCACAAACCATATCTCATTTTCATTCATTCTCGTGACCACTTCACGTTGTTCAAATTTGGGGGGTCGAAAAAAAAAACCTTAAGAGGAGATATCAGAGAAATGTAAATATATGGATAGAGCCCAATTTAAGATGTAATTTCACCTGAACACTGCTCATAATAAAAATTTAAGATTAGATTTTTGTAATGGAGGATGTTTGTAAATAGCTGTCTTTTTAAAGTGTGTTTTGTATGAATCCTTGCATTTTTGTCTCTGTTTGCAATATGATTTTATTTCATTTTCTTTTAGGGTTAAATCCGAATATTGCAACGGACACGCAGGCTGTCTTTTTATTTGCAGTGTCCAGTATTGTCAAAAAAGTCTTTGTTACCACACGTGTTAAAGAAAAAAAGAGAAAAACACAATAACCTGGGGTACAGAGTTTTTACATCGCCATTCAACAGGATCCTAGTTGCTCAGAAAACTGTTCAGGACTGAAGCAGCTTTGAAATGGATATGTCATGATAATGATAAGTTCCCTGTTGGAGACAGCACTTAACTCTGCATATGAAGACTGTGTTATTCCACTGCCTTTGAGGTACCCACACCTTCCACTCCATTATGAGATGTAACAAAAACATTTTTGGTCCACAATGATTAATCTTCTCTCCGTTTTTAATAAGTCGAAGAGAGAGGCGGAGAGAGAGAGCGGAGAGAGAGCGGAGAGGGGGAAAAAATCAGAGGAAAAAAAGAAAAAGGGGGCCACGTATGAGTGTGACCGCTGCACTCGCCAATAAATCATCTGGTTTACACCACTCATTATCTCCCAGGCGGTCCTTTGTTTTAAAGTTGCTCTCTCTCTCTTTCACTCCCTCCGCCCCTCTCCTTTGTCATCTCTCTTTTTCCTAATTTAGCACAAGGATGTCAGTTGCTCATGTTCTGAGTCTCACCGTAGGTTGACTTCTGCTCTTGTTCAAAGCCACAGTATTATTTTACAATGTGCATGTGTAAGCAAAAACCTGTTGAATTTGTTTCCCTTTGTTTGAATCATAACTGTCAAGTTTTGTTATTTTATTTCTTTTTTTTGCCATTCACTTTTTTGCCGCTTCTCAGCGTAACCTATTGGCACCAGCTACAATGGATATAACGTTCCACCAGTTTGGAAACATCCGCATTATTGATAAATAAAATTTTTCCCATGGAAAAAGTGTGCAGGGTTTCTTCTTTCATTGTTTCTCTTCCTTTGAGCTTCACAAATGTGGGTGAAAGATTTCAGTTCCCATGTCACTGACCACCTTGGCTCATGGTGGGAGCATAAACCAGCAGCCCACTCTCACAGCACCCCCCCCCCAAACCCTCACCTCAGGGGTCAGAGCTGCACAGATGGGTTTGTTCTGATACATTAGTCAGATTGAAATCACAAGCAGGCTTCATAAATTCATATTCTGGGAGTATGGACACGCCTTTTTGCATAGTAAATAATACCCGTATCAACCCGCTCTGCCCTGGTGTCCTCCAAAATTACATTTCTTCATACATGATTAAATCTGATTGGCTGCACTCTGCATTTCCATTGCGTTTTGTCTGAAATAACAGTCTGCGTTTATCCGAGTGAGGCACAAACTCCAAAGTCCTTGGTGAAAGCGGAGATGGCATGAAATGTTATTAAAGTGATTGGGCATTTTTCCTCTGACAAACACATCAGAGAGTCTGTGGGCTTTTTGTGTGGCTGATGAAGAGAGCAGAGGGAGCGAGGGGACTGATGGCGGCAAAGAGAGAGAGAAGTCAGGGGCAATGAGAGACATCATGGGCCTGTGGCTTCACCGCCACCCCCACCCCGGTCCCTCTCACCCCACACCCTTGCTGTTTCTCTCTGAGCCCCGGGGCAGGTATGCTCATCTGGTTTCCTGGCCCGGTCTTGAGACGCCCCCATAGATCCACGTTACTGTGGATTTATTAAAACCTTCCCCCCACTGAGCTACTGTGACTGCATGTTATTTTGGTGTATGTCTTTATATGTGTATGTGTGCGCACACATACGCCACAGGGTTTTTGTTCTACAAGAGTCATCATCACAAAAAACATGAAAATATATGTATGTTGCAGCAAAGTACAGCATATTTTTACTCCTCGTGTTTTTAATTTCCTCTAGATCTTTATTAAATCAAACATTCAATCGTTGACTTTATCCAGGAGTTCAGGGGTTACACAATTTAATTATATGCATAAATATATATATATATATATATATATATATATATACTTAATGATCAAGGGCATTCATTCTTGTCCATTTACACACTGTATGTTTTAGAGATTAAACTACACTTCATTTGCATATTTAGACCCCAGTACACTTTAAACTGCAGTGAAAACACCCTCCTGAGTTTTCACTTGATGTGAACATGTGTAATTGCCCACATTGTTTTGTTTTTTTGTACAACATGGTGGCTCACATGTCTTTATAGATGAAACAAGTCACCTGGGAGAGGAATAGCCACCAGCAGTTTGAGGTGGCTTGGGAACAATTTAACTTACGCTTGTTTTCACCCATGATCATGAATACTAATTGTGGAAAAGAAATTCCAAGGAAGCTTGTTTTTTTGTTTTTTTTCCTGGATCAGTTTGTAATGTGGAGAAGAAGCAAATCAGTGCAGATAATCGCAGGGTCTCTTTAGGCCTGGTGCACTGTAGAGGAATTTAAACTCTTAGCCGATTTTAAAAATGTTGGAGACCACAGACAAAATGACAGATTTAACCAATATTTAATATTATAATATACAGAACACACACTCTAGGAACGTAAGTCCACACACTTGTTGTTAGTAGAAACATTTTTCACAGTAGAGATTCCAAAGACTTGCTTGATCAAACACAACTTCAGAAGAAAAAGAAAAATGGAGGAGGGGCGATGTTTTCAGCTTGCTGGACTTGCACATGTTCTGTTTTTCAGCAAAAGACAAAGACAGAGAAAAAAATATGAATCAACAAGAGAAGGTGAATTAAGCTGTTGAGGATACTTCAAGTTCTAAGAGGCAAAGCAAACTTTCATTTCTTATTTGTAGAACGATTCTGAAATCTTTCTTCTTCAGCTATGCAAGAAAAAATGTATTTAATTGAATGCATAGCTGTGGCCACCACTGTAATTACTATCAAACTGATGTAAACTAAATGAGCCCATGCAGGGTCTTGTAAGGTGAGGCAGGAAAGATTAATGATTTTCTTTTTTAGCTGAGTAATTCATTTTCGATTGCACTGGCTGGTTGCTCGCCTCAGATGATCACCACTGGTTGTGCATTAGCATAGTTTACTTGTCACTTTGTTTGCCGCTTCATCACTGCCTGGGAACTGCAGGTTGCTTCCCGTCCTGACAAGGCCATGGGGCCAGAGGAACTTGTGAAGACGAAAAATAAAGTTGTCAGCGGGAGATGTGAAGCGATAACCAGATAAAGGAAAGAATTCAATAATGCTGGTACAATACAATTCCTTCAACAGGGCAAGCTGACACTGTTTCTTCTCTCCCACACAAAATCTGCTGCATGTGCAGACGCTCCCCTTGATCCGGTGAAGCAAGTTGAAACTGCAACTTCTCAGCTGTGACCACGCGTCCGGAGCGAGTGGCCGTCAATACGGCTCTTAAGCCGTCTCCTATAATGTTTTTTCATATGGATCATGCAGGAGGCCAGTAACTCACACTATAATCAATATGACATGCTATGGGACATGTTCTTTCTCATGTAATGTACGTATACATATTTAATGAGTTAATGCATCACTCGCCGTTCATAAATAATGCAGGCACACTAATGCCTTTCATCAAATGCTGCTCATCAAATATCAAGCACATTTTTGGTCAATCTCAGGAAACTTGAGATGGCACGGAGCGACCGAAACCGAGGGAAGAAAAACCTTGAGAGGGGAGTTCATTAGTCAGGCAGTAACATATGGATCGTTCATGAAAGGGCTAATTAATGCGATCCAAATTACAATCAATGGGGGGAAGTATATCTAAACATTGTTCCTCTTTAACCCGTCAAAGGGGCAGGAAATGGAAACTCCACCAAAGCATTGTGGTCTCCTGGGTTATTGTGTGCCTCATTTTTATGTTTCATTACACGCACTCTCTCACACACACACACACAGAGCCGCCAGCCACATATTGATAGCATTGTTATGAACAGAACATGCCTGATCAAGCCCGGGCCGTGGCAGGGATCCAGGTCTAACCGAGATTCATCAATCATGCAGAGGGTGAGAGAACCTAAGAGACTCACACACAGAAAAAACTGTCAAGACACACACACACACACACACACACACACACACACTCACACACACTCCACCCGGGCGCCTGGCGCCTGGCTCCTGGGTCGCAGGTGTGAAGACCAAGAAAGAAAGAAAGTGGGAATTATTTCCTTTCTTTCTATCCGTCCTCCACTTTAAAGAGAAACTGCTCTAACGCTCTCTCTCTCTCTCTCTCTCTCTCTCTCTCTCTCTCTCTCTGCCTTCCTCCCACATCTTTGAAAACATCCCATTTCCAGATTCCCTTCACCCAATTTAAAACCCACACTTCATTTGGCCCCCCAGCATCACCACCCCGCTCCTCCTCCATCTCAAACTCTCAATTAGGCCATGCCTCGAATCTCAGGCATTATCTCTGCTGGCCATTTATATAACATGACTCTGAAACGCATTTGCACACTTTTCCAATTACAGTATTATGCCTCCAAGCTTTGCTTCTTTCTGTCTCTCTCATTTCTCCCCTTTCACTCAAACGGCTCTTGATGTTTAACACTACAAAAGAGTCACTGCTGCAAATACAGACACACATTGCTACTTTAGAGTAATGGCCTGTTTTTCCTTCAGACATTGTTGATGCTTATGAAACTTTTTGTGTGTGTGCTTACCTAGGGTGACTGACAGCCAGGTGAAGGACAGGAAAGTCAGTGAGTACATCTGGCAAAGTCCTAGAAGTAACGAAAGTCATAGAACTTAGAAATTCTAATATTTAAAAATACTGAATAAAAATTAGGAATGTTGAATGAGCCTAAAGATTTACTAATACTGTTATTGCTATAATTGAAAATGTACCCAAAATTGAAATATACAAATTAAATAATATGAAAGTATTAATGAAAACTTGAGAGTATAGATCAAACTCCTGAGGATATTAAGTCAAACGTATTCAATATTGAAGGAAAATTTAATTCAAAATTTCAGGACATTGAATGAAAAACGAACAAAAAGTTATTATGTAATGAAAATATTCAGAAGTCCACGACTACCACATGAAAACATAAAGATTGATGGCAAACTTGATAATATTGAACAAATACCAGAAGATTTTATTGGATTGGACACAACACATGAACTAGTGTTGAACGAACAAAGCTATAAAATATTTTTGAGAAAGTGGGAGCGTGGAAGGAAACCCTCAAAATATTTAATGAGAGGCTCAGAATATTGAATGAAAAATGTAAAATATTTAAGGAAAAACTGAGTGTGTTGCGTGACACGTCGAGAATACTGTGCAAACACCCTGAAATACCCAATGAAAGGCTGACAATGACTCACAAACCTACAAGACAATGCACAAGAATGTTGAATCAACTTGAAAAATATGCAGGAAGTATGCATGAGTTATCACTCATCATAATGAAGACATTATGCTGTTGTCATGCTTTTGTTTCTTATACACTGTAATATAGTCATATCAGCCTAAAGTACAGTCAAATGTGCTGTTTGAGTCACAGATTGAGTCCCAGATAAAATAAGATTAGATAGGACAAGATAAGATACCTTTGTTGACAACGGTTTCAGAATACAACTAAGAATAAAAATAGAAATGCTATATACAATAAGAATGGAAATATACTATTTTTCACTACTTTTTCCAAATACAAAATTAAATCGTGCTCCGGCATGAAATACAAAATGACTTAATCCTGGAACTTTTAATTGTAACTTTACTTTGCTTGATTAAAACATTAAAACATATTCAGTACAACATTTTGAATGAGAATTTGAGAGTGCCAAAATATAATATTGAACAAAAACATTTTATAAAGGTGAACAATTGTGTATGATAAGAGAAAACTCATAATCACATGATCACAGCCACATTAGGGGTACAGTGGGATTTCACAGTGGTCTATATCTTGTGGCCTCAGTCATTAGTCGGCCCTTAATGCTGTTTGGTATCCGTAA